TCTCACTGGACGTTTTCTTTTTCCCTCCCTCCTTCCCTTTCTCCCTCCATCCCTCCCCCCTTCCTTCCTTTTTAAAAATCGTTTTTATTTCAATTCGAGGAAGGTAGCAGGAGTAGAGTTCGGCAATGAAAGAGCTGGAGAACAGGAGAGACCCACGTGCAGGTGGGCAGCGCCCTAGGACGGCTCAGTACCTGCTAGTTACTGATGGGGCCAGGTCTGACTGACACACGAAGGCTAGAGATTCTCTCTTTGGCCTGCGAAACACCCACGAGGGCTCGCTCACCAGCCTCTGCTCTACAGTGCACTCCCGTCCTGTCAACCTTCAGATGATTCAGCTGTCCCTTCCCTCTTCTCCCTCCACCACCATGACAAGAATGTCCTTCCTCGGGGGCAGGGAGCGAAGATTTGGAATGTCCCTCTGACTCAGGTTGTCTCACTCTGACTCATCCCTCACCCCATCTACTGCCCTGGTGGCCGTCTGCCAGCAACCTGGAGCCCACGTGTCCTTTTCTGAAAATAGCAAGGAGGGACAGGGCTTTGTTTTGTGGCATTTAGGACCTTTCCACCATAAAACGTTGCCTCTCTGTGTCACTGGCCACCTCCCAAGCAAAGAGCTGTGTGCCCCAGCCTCAGGGCCCCGGGCTACCTGTGCTTCCCCCTATGTGGCCACGCTGCAGTGACCGTTCTTCCAGTGTCCTTGTGTCATTAACTCTTAGGTTCAGTAGGCTTTTCAGGACCTGTGTATAAAATTGGCTCTGCAAGAAAGTGCAACGTGAGCCCTAAGCAACCCATTTATTTATCTTTTTTTTTAAAAAGTAACTACTTCATAATAAACTAGAAAATCGAAAAACATAAAAGGCTACACAGTAACAAGTTTCTCTCTCACCCTCCTCTCCTCCCATCCACTTCCAGCTCCTGTGGGCTGTCACTGCTACTTGTATGTTTCCAGAGGCATTTCACAGACATACAAGGCAACACAAATGTGTTGACACACTTGTGCACCTACCTTTTTTTCCTTTGAAGATATCTATCTTGGAAGCTCTTTCTATGTCAGCATAGAAGGAGCAATTTCATCATTTTTTAGACCCGCGTAATCTTTTGTATGGATTCACCTTGATTTATATATCGGTGGGCAATTAGGTTCTTTCCAGCTTTAGGCTGTTATAAACTGTGCTGGATTGATAACTTTGCACACGTATGATCTCCCAGGTATGTAAGTTGAATGAATCACCATAGCGGTCCACAAGTGGAATTCCAGGGCCCACGGCATGACATTTGCGGTTTGGATAGATACTGTTTAAGTGCCTTCCATGGAGGTTAGACCTGTTTGAGCTTGTGCCGTCACTGTACACAAGGCCTGTTCCCCGCGTATCACCCCGTGTCTCATCACACACTTGTACCTTAAACAGGCTTTTCAATGCATCCCCTTCATAATTTGGGAGCTGACTGAATTCCCAGGGTGTGTGCTCATTAAGTGTCAAGACTTCAAATTCCAGAGCCTGGCCATTTGGCTTGGTGTCTGGTTGCTGTGTGGCCTGGGCACAGCGACTCAGTGTCTGCTTCAGCACATCGGCTCTGAAATGGGGGTGTGAACAGTGGCAGCCTACGAAGTCCTGTGAGTGAGTTAGTACATGTCAAAGGTGGGAACAGTGCCCAGTATGTAAACATTTACTGTGGTGCTCAGTGTCGGTGATTCCCAGGAGACGCACACGTCCCCTCTCCAGGACCAGCCGCTTTGCTACCAGTGAAGAAACTGCCCCTTGGGTTCTGCATGAATGAAGGCAGGGAGGGTATTGAGAGAGCAGTCAGCCTGGGAAGGAAGCAGGCGTGGAGGTCCACTGGCTGATAAGCAAGGGAGCTTATTCAGAATGGAGGGGAGGAAGCGGCCAGCATAAGATATCACTGGAATTGCCCCTCCACGGGATCAAGCACGGCTGGCCCTGAGCTGGAGGAGAAAGATAACAGATACGATCAAAGGGTTAGGGTCAGAGCTCAGATATTTCCCCCACATCACATCGAAAACATCAACTCATCTAAACTTGCAAAACTGATATTTTTGCCCCAATTCTTTTTTTTAAAAAACATCCAGTGTGCTTGGGGACTCTTAGCACTGGCACAGAAGTTCAGTGCAAATGACCATTTCCAAAATCTAGAAGCCTATGTCCCTATTATGCAGTAAACACTATGTAAATATTTGTAGAAAGAAAGAAAAATGCCTTTTAAGGTTTCTTTCCTCTCCCACTCTCCAGAATCTCCTTGCCAGCAGCTTATTGAGCCTGCCGCTCACCACCAACCCTTTCCTTACTTTTTTCCTCTATATTTTGTCACTTCCTTGCCACCTTTGGTCCATGCACACCACTGACCTAAAACCCAGCCTCTCGCAGGCCAAGCAAGCCTCCGCCAAGTGCCGGTGGCCAGGCCGGGACAGCGAACCGGGCATTGCCCCCGAGCCCTCTGAGAACAGGAGGCGTTTTCTCTCCTCGTCCTCCACTTTCCTAGTCCATCATTCAAATAGCGAGGGAATGTGAGTGATCCCGTGAGAGAGGCAGAGAACTGTACTCTGGCTGCTGCAGTGACTTTATGGCCTTTCGTTTGTCTACACAATGCGACACGGCCTTCCTCAGTTTCTGGCCTGGCATAACCCTGGCAGCACCAGCTGACCGCAGGCAGGCAGCCCTTGCATGCCCTTGACTGGTGGTGGACACACTGTATCTTTCCATGCAAGCCGCCCTCCCAGCCATGCCTGGGAGGGCCCTCCGGTGGGCAGCTGACCCTCAGGGCTGCCCTAGCTCCTGCAGGAGCGCCCCAGCTGCTCCTGCGGGCAGTTACGGCACTGAGACCAGCGGGCAGGAGGGCAATGCTAGCCACCCCTGGGTGGCAGGGACGCTAGGCTGTGATGCACTTACAGGGGAAGGAACTTCTGAGGTGGAAGCAGGAAGACCCTTTTTATTGCTGCAAGACCCAGATGAGAGTTACCACAATGAGAATGTCTTCCTAGGGTTTGGTTCCCCATTTTCTCACTTTGTATCAAGTGTCTCTTGGAATAACATTGTCTCTATGCACCTCTAACCTGAAATGGGCAAGTAGACCCCCAGGTCTGGCCATGTGGCCAAACAGAGCACTTCAGGGAGGTTGAGCCAGTGCCTTAGTTGGGATGAAAGACAAATGGAGAGACGGTGGCTGTAGAGTTCTATTTGGCAGCTTCGAGGTTGGCCCATTCTGGGTGCAAAGCCTCTCCTGCTGCCTCGGCCTCCTCCCCATGCCTGCAGCCAGCGGGGATGTGTCTCTCCAGTTCCCTGCCCCCTCAGGCTTGGGTGTAAGTGGCTTCCCCAACAGAGCCAGTTGTCACTTTGCCCATGGGTGCTGGAACACGGTTCTTGCCACCTGCTACGGGGAAATGAATTTAAAACTCTTGCTGAAAGGAAAGAATGATGGGGCAGACATAAGCCAGCCTCCAGCTGCTGCAAAGCAAGTGTGGCTCTCTTCAAACCACCCTCTAGCCCACCCTGAGGAGTATTTATTTATTGACTTGCTCTGCGGCCAGGGAGGGGTCGCTCGGCAAAGCCACTGCAGGAATTCCTGCAGCGGGAGAGAGTGTAGGCTGTTCCTTGTCGGCTGATGGGATGGAAGAGTTGAAGGGCTCTTTTCAAGGACAGAGATTTCTCATCTGTAAAACGAGAGCCCCCAAACCTTCTTGTAGTGCGGTACTTCCAACCTTGTCCTGTCGCCGGGACAGGGAGGCTGTGTTCCTCTTGACTACCACCAGCGTTTACAGCGCTACCCATTTAATGGCTCACCGTCAGGAACGTGGGCAGGGCCTAGCTCCGTGGTCTCCTTGGGAGGCGAACTCTGCGTCAGAGCTGGAGAGTCTCTTGGGAGGCTCTGCTGGGGAAAGATCTAGTCCCGGGTTCCCTCAGGTTATTAGCAGAATTCATGTCCATAGGCCCTCCCCCAGCACAGTTCCAAACCAATAAAGGGAGTCCCTCCAGTTTGCTGAGATGGGATCTTTTATAATGAAATATAATCAAGGCTTGGCGGCCCACCGCCTTTGCCATTTGCTGTTGGTTAGAAGCTAATCACAGGCTCCGCCCACAAGGGCCTTAACACCTGGAGGCAGATCACAGGTTCCCCGGGAGTTCTCCCTGCCACGGGGAGAGGATACAAACTTACCAGTAAGTGTTTCAAAGTGTTTCCAAGTGAAAACCGAACCTATTCTGTATGGTCACACTTTCTTCTTTGACAAGAGGCAGGCTCGTTCTTTTTCTCCCATCTCAGAATGCCTCCAAATCCTGGCACCCTGCACAGCACGGTTACTTCTGCCACAGCTTGCTTTCCAGCTCCTGCTCTTTCATTTACTGGCTGTATGTTATTGAGGAAGAGTGGGATTTTTTTTTTTTTATTGTTGTCTATTTGACTTTGAATCTTAAGAGTGTCCTGATCTGTAAGAATGCATTTCATTAAGATTTTGTTAGATACTAGCATACAATAGTCACTGTTACTTAGCAAACGATATTTCTAGCCCCTTTTCTTATAAGACTGTTCATTGTATTGCATTAATTTTATTTACCTACAAAACTCAACAACACAATATTGGCCTTGCTAGCATGAATGCCAAAACAAAAGAGAAAATACAAATTTTGAAACAAGTCCAGTTGTATGTAAGGAGCCGAGATCACTCTGGTCAGGTGCTGTCAGAGTTCTATAATAAAGGGAAAGGACTAAAATCTTACACATGCCAAGAAAATTCCGCCAGTGCCATATTTAAAAAGAGCCAATGACATAGGTTTGGGGCTTTTTAACCTCTCTCTTTCTATTCTTCTTTTTCCCTTTTTTCCCCTGAAGTAAGACTAAGAAGCGCAGACCCTTGTTAAGATTCACATTTCATCCTGCTCCATGGAGGGAAACAACACAATGAAACTTGGCTTTAGATGGGAACCGGCCCAGCCCGAGGGAGTGTTGAAGAGTCAGGTGATTCTAACCTGTTTTGGTTTCTTTTCCAGGTATATTCATGTTGTGGAAGGGATTGGATCTTGTAACCAGCTCATCAGAAAGCCCCACTTGGCTGTAACTTCCGGAGGGAGGGTCTCTCCAACCTTCACCTCCATTCACGGCCACTTCTGAAGCTACTTGAGGAAAATGGTGTGACAGTTCCTACCGGAAAGGATTGTCGGAAACATATAACCTCTGTGAAGAAAGTGGCCCTTTTTCCCTTTTGCAGAAGTGACATTCTCAAATTCCAAAATGCCAGCCAAGACCCCAATTTACCTGAAAGCTGCCAATAACAAGAAAGGAAAGAAATTTAAATTGAGGGACATTCTGTCTCCTGATATGATCAGTCCTCCGCTCGGAGACTTTCGCCACACCATTCACATTGGCAAAGAGGGCCAGCACGATGTCTTCGGAGATATTTCCTTTCTCCAAGGAAACTATGAGCTTTTACCTGGAAACCAGGAGAAAGCGCACCTGGGCCAGTTCCCTGGTCATAACGAGTTCTTCCGGGCCAACAGCACCTCCGACTCTGTGTTCACGGAGACGCCCTCCCCTGTGCTCAAAAACGCCATCTCCCTCCCGACCATCGGAGGGTCCCAAGCACTCATGTTACCCTTATTGTCACCGGTGACATTTAACTCCAAACAGGAGTCTTTTGGGCCAGCAAAGCTTCCCAGGCTTAGTTGTGAGCCTGTCATGGAGGAAAAGGCTCCTGAGAAAAGCAGCCTGTTGGAGAACGGGAGGGTCCACCAGGGAGATGTCTCATGGGGCTCCAGCGGGTCCGCATCGCAGTCCAGCCAGGGCAGGGACAGCCACTCCTCCAGCCTCTCCGAACAGTACCCCGACTGGCCGGCTGAGGACATGTTTGACCATCCCACCCCGTGCGAGCTCATCAAGGAAAAGACTAAATCAGAGGAGTCCCTCTCTGATCTCACGGGCTCCCTCCTCTCCCTGCAGCTCGATCTCGGGCCCTCATTTTTGGATGAGGTGCTGAATGTCATGGATAAAAATAAGTAACAGGACACCTCCAGCAATTTCTTTGGGATAAAAGATTAAAAAAAAAAAACAAACAGACACCCAACAACAGTGAACCACCGTTGAAGAGAAGAGCTTCGCTGGCTGTATTTGCAGTTATGTGATGGGTTTTCTAAAATAATGTTCCTACAAAGTATTTTTTTACCTTCTATATCTTATTTGCAAAAACAGTTAAAGAAAAAAAAAAAAAAAGACCTGTCCTGGCAAAAAGAGAGAGTGAGTCAATCAGAACCCATTTTAAGCAGGCACGGCTGATGCTCAGCTCACATTTTTTTGCTTGTAGACACATAGGAATCTGTCTGGGCCAGGATGGGCAGGAGCTACGAAGGGCTGCTGAGTCACAGGAACTTGACAATACTCCAGCGTTTTCTGAGCAAGAGGAAGTCAAAATTTATTTAACACCTAAGCCTTTTTTTCTAGACTCTTTTCTATATTATGTTGTTTGGGCTCACCATAGCAGATTCTTCAGTGTTAAAACTTTTCTCTGTTTTCACATTTGAACAACTTTATGGGTTTGGGGGATTTTTCTTGTAGCTATTATATCTCTCTATATAATATGTTGATTTTGTGGAATTTTGACTGTTGGCAACATGTTGGTAAGACACAAGCAAAGTGTTACTGTAACTAAGTTATTTTTAAAGTTAAAATATATTTTTATGTGCCTTTGGCTTTTTATTGCAGAGTCTACATTTTATAGATACTACAGCAAATGTCATTTGACTTGATTCCATTGTGGTTCCATTGTAAGCTGCGTATGTGTATGTTTGGAAAAGTGTATTCATACTTTAGCTTTATTTTCTTTTTTCTTCACCTGTTAAACTTTTCATAGCAGCCATCAATGGATTGTCAAGTGTAAAGGCACAGGTTACTCACGACGCTTCTGCAGAGACTGTGGGCTACACCACATAATGTTCTTTGGAAATATGGGTATTTTAGTACAGTACATACTTGCATTACATAGGTACTTCATACAACACAATAAAGAGTAAATGTTAAAATGAACTTGCATGATTATAGTAATAAACAAAAACAAACTAATAATATTTTCTTATTATATAGTCGAGCTAGAAAAAATTGCTTCTCTGAAGTGTACATGAGACCTTCAAAAAAAGGTAAGAGGTGATTTCTATCCACTCTGTAATTTTGATTATTTCCCAAAGGTTTGAGATTCTCCCAAACAGGGACCCAAAAACAAACATGTGAGATCAGAATTTTTCTTTTTAAAGTCAATACTGATGGCAAGCAGCCTTTCAAAACTCACTTCTATGACTCTCCTCCCTGACTTTAGGACACTCTGCAGCGAATTCTTACAGCCCCAATCCCATCTCTATGGGACAGGTGTTTCCTCCATGGGGCAGGTGCCCTGTAGACACAGTTGAGGAGGCTAAAGGAGAGTGGCAAGACCGCTTGCCCGACGCGGGAGCCCAAGACGCCCTGAGGGTGTCAGCTACGGAAACAGGAAGAGGAAATGTACACATACATTCCTGTCCCTTTGCTAACTCCCCTTCCTCCTCAAAGACAAACACCTGCACACAATAACTTTCATTTCTCCTTGAAATATCGCCCTGAAATGACTTCCTCTCCCAAATACTTGAGTATACTCTCACCAGGTTTGAAGTCATCATAATTCTCTGTTCATCTGCAATAACCTTTGAACCACAGGTGAACCAAGTCAGGATGACTATGTAGAAGAGAAAACAAGTTCCTTCAGGACATTGACTGCCTGCCTTAATTTCCTAGCTGTATTTCTATCCCACGATTTTCCAGTGTTCTTTTTCTGTTGAGCAGACCCCTCTTACAGATAGATTACAGATAGGCCTCCCAGCCACTTCTAAATCTTGTGACTAAGAAGACGCTGGTGTATCTCATTTTGTGCCAGACTCTTTCAATATGTTCCCCATCTTAATTATAGTCTCTCATTTAACTTGGCATCTGCAGCATGACCTCAAGAAAAAGATTGAACTATTAGGTGAAATGGTGAGAAATGTCCGCTTTTTTCCTGCTGCTTCTGTGACATGTGGAGCACAGTTCCGCCAGTGTTGGGTTTGCTCAATAGAATTCACATGGTCATGCATTCTTGCAGGTACTCAGCCATTACACGGGGTTCCCCTGCGCCCTTTCACATGTAGTCTGTACTGTTAGGTTGGGTATAGTTGACATGGCAACAAGCATGGCCCTGTCACAGAGCATGCAAAACCACATCCAGCTTATGAACAACTTTGTTGAGTCAGTTCTGTGGCAGCCCTTCTAATACCTGGCCCCTCTTCCGGGGAGCAGGTGTGGAGCTGGTGGCGGCTTCCTCCTGCAAAAAGGCACTTTTGACTGGTACCTGCTGAGAGCTGAATTGGTGCTCTCAGCCTCTGATCATTCTGCTTTTAACCTAATTTCTCAAGATGCACTTTATTTGCAAACTTAGAATGGCAAGCCACCTGTGACCCATGCAATTTGTGTAAGTAGAGACCCTTGCGTTGTAGCTGGCAGGGTTCTTGTGGGTGAGTTTATCCCTGGGCAGAGACTTAACAAAGGACAAAGAACAAAATATTTCTGCTTAAAATTATCTGCTTAAAAAGATCAAAACATCAGAGCACTTACCAATATGTCATTGATTATCACATTTCAGTGAGTCCAAGTCACAACAAAAAAGACTAATGTGAACAAAAAAGAGAACCCAGGGCTCCAGAAACAGTCTATTCCTTTTATATGTTACAGAAATTCACCATTTTTTCCCCTCAAGTCTCTCCACAAAATGCTTGAACCCGTAGACTAGAGGACATCCATGAGTCCATGAATTAACTTGGTAAATATTTAAAAACAGACACAATAACATATTAGATGATGTTTCTGATCCTCCTAATATGGAATCTGGAGAGACTATTTTACTGGGAAATATGTAAACAATAGAATGAATAAACATGATTGTTTCTCTCTAATAAGAGTTTCTCCTTTGGAAGTTATGTTACCAGCCTGGTCCCAATTTAATTGTTCTAATAGACAAAATTCTCAGACTTTACGATTAGCTCACCAGACTAATGTGAATGGTTGGCTTACTTTGTTCTAAGTCAATTAACTATATACAGAGGGTGGTTGGGTTCTGCCCTGTATCTCCTCATGTTCTTTGGGGTCAGATCCAGCAAAATAAGAAATTTTCAGATGCCAAATGATAAGCTACCATTGACTCAGATGGGTAGACTTCTCTTTTGGTTGTACAGGACTTAATGTCAGTGTTCAAAACTGTATCACGCCAACTTATTGGTTCTGGCTAAGCAATACATTTGTTGTCTCAAAAAGAGGATTGTCTCCCTGACAGATATTTTTGCACGTTTGCTTCACCTGATGATACCTGGGAAGCCAAGCTTTAGTCTGATGGCACAGCATTTCATCCAACCAGCCTTCCATCTGAGAATGTTTCATTTCCTTTTTTTAAGAATAGGTTTTACTGATTATGCTATTACAGTTGTCCCATTTCTTCCCCCTTTATTCTCCCCCTGCTGCAACTGCCCCCCATCACTAACATCCCCCTCCTCCCCGCTTAGTGGGGTCATACATATAAGTTCTTTGGCTTCTCCATTTTCTGTACTATTCTTAACCTCTTGTACCTACCAATAATGTTCCTTATTCCCTGTACTCTTTCCCCCATTCTCCCCCCACCCCTTCCCCTCTGATCTCCATTTCTGTGATTCCGTTCCTGTTCTAGTTCGCTTAGTTTGTATTTATTTTCTTTAGGTTCAGCTGTTGATAGTTGTGAGTTTGTTGTCATTTTAATGTTCATAGTTTTTTATTTCCTTTGTCTTAGATAAGTCCCTTTAACATTTCATATAATAAGGGCTTGCTGATGATGAACTATTTTAACTTTACCTTAACTGGGAAACACTTTATCTGTCCTTCCATTCTAAAGATTTTATTTATTTTTAGACAGAGGGGAAAGGAGGGAGAAAAAGAGGGAGAGAAACACCAGTGTGCGATTACCTCTCGCACACCCCCTCCTGGGGACCTGTCCTTCAACCCAGATGTGTGCCCTGACTAGGAATCGAACCAGCGACCCTGTGGTTCACAGGCTGGCAGTCAATCCACTGAGCCACACCAGCCAGTGCCCTTCCAGTCTAAATGATAGCTTTGCTGGATAGAGTAATCTTGGATGTAGGTCCTCATCTTTCATGGATACTACTTTCTAGCCCCTTTATGCCTGCAAAGTTTCTTTGGAGAAATCAGCTGATAGTCTTATGGGAACTCCTTTGTAGGTAACTGTCTCCTTTCTCTTGCTGCTTTTAAGAGTCTCTTCATATCTTTAATTTTCAGTAATGTAATTATGATGTACCTTGGTGTGTGCTTCTTTGGGTCCAACTTCTTTGGGATTCTGAGCTTCCTGGGTGTCCTGGAAGTCTATTTCCTTTGCCCAGTTGGGGAAGTTCTTATTTTTTCAAATAAGTTTTCAGTTTCTTGCTCTTCCTCTTCCCCTTCTGGCACCCCTATAATTCAGATGTTGGAACGTTTAAAGTTGTCCCAGAGGTTCCTAAGCCTCTCCTCATTTTTTTGAATTCTTGTTTCTTCATTCTGTTCTGGTTGAATGTTTATCTCTTCCTTCTCCTCCAAATCATTGATCTGAGTCCCGGTTTCCTTCCCTTCACTGTTGGTTCCCTGTATATTTTTCCTCATTTCATTTTGTATAGCCTTCACTTTTTCCTCCATTTTGTGACCATACTCAGCCATTTCTGTGAGCATCCTGATTACCAGTGTTTTGAACTGTGCATCTGATAGGTTGGCTACCTGTTCATCTCTTAGTTCCATTTTTGGAGCTTCGATCTATTCTTTCATTTGGGCCATATTTCCTTGTCTCTGCATGCCTGTTATGTTGGAAGGGGAGGAGCCTTAGGCATATTCCAGGGTGGGGCAACCCAGGTTTCTGAGTTGTGGAGGTGTAGGTGGGGGAGTTGTCTGAAAGGGAGCAATGCTGCTTGCTCGGTTCTCTGCCAACTTTCAGTCACTTACCCTGCTTCCCACAAGCAAATTGGGCCCTTTTAGTGCTGATTCTGGGGTGGGTGGGTTTGTGTATGTTCTAGGACCCTGCAGATCTCTCTATTGAACTCTCCTGTGAGGCTGAGAGTTTCTTCCACCGCTGAAACCCCCATAGATTTTTATAGCCAGAGGTTTTGAGGCTTTCTTCTCCCACCCTAGAAGGCTCGGTTGTGCAGTCTTTCTTGCTCCCCAGCTGTTCCTCCCAGTTTTTCTGCATGTAAATGTGGGACTGTCTGGTCCGTTAGCTGCTGCCTTCTGTGTCCTCACTGCCTATCTCTGCCCCTCCTATGGGTCTGGATGAATATTTCTTCTTTAACTCATTGGTTGTCGGGCTTCCATACAGTTCAATTTTCTGGTGGTTCTGGTTATTTTTTGTTTTTAAATTTGTCATTTCCCTTTTATTGGTTGTATAAGGAGGCAAAGTATATCTATCTATGCCTCCATCTTAGCCGGAAGTGAATGTTTCGTTTTTACCTCATATTTAGCAAGTACTTATTAAGAAGTAGGCCTGACATTTCTTACTTGAGTTATTCTGAGGTAAAGATGCTACAAAAAAAGTCATGGAAGAATGGGAACTATGCTTATTTTATGAAATGATGTAGAACATAATGAATTGTTTTACAACTACACTGTATTTAATTATCTTCCATTTTTATTTAAAACCAGATAGTGAATTCACTTGCTTGGGCTTCCCAGGGATGTCTGTAATCATCCTTTGAAGGTCAGCCAGATTTCTTTCACAGAAAGAATATTGACATGAGTGATAGATAAAAAAATTCATCTGCCCAGATCAAAGCCACCACGCAGAAGAGAGTTAATATCCCAGAGACTTACCATACAGATGGAGTTTTCTGCCCTGCATCATAATTAGCAAGGCTGAATAAGTGAAGTGGGTATTACCCACACCATAAAATGATTATTGGAGTAAGTTGCGAGGCACGTGTGTGATTCATTGCCCA